ATCTTTTAAGCCTCTAACCAAGTCAAGCTTAACCAATCTATTCAATTGTTTCATTCCAACATGACCAAACATTCTATGCCATAACCAACCCATGCTAGACTTAATGAACAAACATGTAGATAGTTGAGCTTCACTAGCATTGAAATCAAACAAGTATAAATTCTCATATCTAGAGCCTTTGAAGATTAAGTTAGAGCCATCTACACTTATGATCTCTACATCATCTACCCCAAATATGCATTTGAATCCAAGATCACACAATTGAGCTACAGATAGCAAATTGAAATTCAAGCTCTCTACTAGCAACACATTGGAAATACTCATGCCATTGGATATTGCAATCTTACCAAGCCCCTTGACCTTACCTTTGCCATTGTCACCAAATGTGATAATATCATAACCAACATTGCCACTGGTGTTGATTGAGTTGAACATTCTTACATCACCGGCCATGTGTTGAGTGCACCCACTATCAAGAACCCAATATCTTCCTCTGACTTTATAATTGACCTACAAAAGAAGATCAATTCTAGTTTCTATAGTCTTTATCCACACAATGGCTATGTAACTATACTAAGTTAGTGTGCTCTCAAAGGCTAACTAAAGAGCCATACTAACCAAACTAACAAGCTCTCACGACTAGCTACACTAAAGAGCTTGACAACTAGTTTGCGGTAATGTAAAGAGATAGAGCAAGATGGATATACCACCGAGTCGAGGAATGAACCAATCAATCACAAGAATGAATACCAATAAAGACCAATCACCTCAGAATCAAATGATGACACAATGATTTTTTACCGAGGTTCACTTGCTTACCGGCAAGCTACTCCTCGTTGTGGCGATTCACTCACTTGGAGGTTCACGAGCTGATTGGCATCACCCGCTAAACCCTCAATAGGGTGCCGCACAACCAACACAAGATGAGGATCACATAAGCCACGAGCAATTTACTAGAGTACCTTTTGGCTCTCTGCTGGGGAAAGGTTAAGAACCCCTCACAATCAACACGATCGGAGCCGGAGTCAATCACCAACCTCCGCTCGACGATCCTCGCTGCTCTAAGCCGTCTAGGTGGCCGCAACCACCAAGAGTAACAAGCAAATCCCGCAGCGAAACACGAACACCAAGTGCCTCTAGATGCAAACACTCAAGCAATGCACTTGGATTCACTCCCAATCTCATAAAGATGATGAATTAATGATGGAGATGAGTGGGAGGGCTTTGGCTAAGCTCACAAGGTTGCTATGTCAATGCAAATGGCCAAGAGAGTGAGCTAGAGCCGGTCAAACGGTATTTGTAGACACCCCCAATCAATAGAGCCGTTGGCTCAATTATTGGGCTGACTGCGCATCGACCGGACGCGCAGGTCGTGTTGACCGGACGCACCGTTCATGGCGACCGGATGCGTCCGGTAGCTACCTAACCGCCATGGGTCCAGTTCAAACTAAAGTAGCCATTGCTGCCACACATTTTCCTGCGACCGGACGCTCTGTTATAAACGACCGGACGTTGAGTTAGAAACGACCGGACGCTGAGCCACAGCGTCCGGTCGAGTCTAGAGAGTTCCCAGGGCTGACCGGACACGCTGTTAGAAAATGACCGGACGCTGAGCCTCAGCGTCCGGTCGAGTCCAGTAAGCTTCCAGGTCCGACCGGACGCTCCCAGCGTCCGATCAACTGTTATACTGAACTACGACTTCGCTGGCGACCGAACGCGTCCGGTCGCCATACCGGGCGCGTCTGGTCACTCTGACCAGCGCGACTAACTCATTTTCAACTCTATCTTCTTCACCCTTGCTCAAATGTGCCAACCACCAAGTGTATCACCTTGTGCACATATGTTAGCATATTTTCACAAACATTTTCAAGGGTGTTAGCACTCCACTGGATCCTAAATGCATATGCAATGAGTTAGAGAATTTAGTGGCACTTTAATAACCGTATTTTGATACGAGTTTCACCCCTCTTAATAGTACGACTATCGAACCTAAATGTGATCACACTCACTAAGTGTCTTAATCACCGAAACAAAATGGCTCCTACCATTTATACCTTTGCCTTGAGCCTTTTGTTTTTCTTTCTTCTTTTCCAAGTCCAAGCACTTGATCATCACCATGGCAACACCATCGTCATGTCATGATCTTCATTTGCTTTACCACTTGGAGTAGTGCTACCTATCTCATAATCACTTTGATAAACTAGGTTAGCACTTAGGGTTTCATCAATTCACCAAAACCAAACTAGAGCTTTCACGGAGTCACGTGGTCTCATCCACTCGCACCCCGAGGCCTCCAACTTCGTCCACTTGAAGCCTGCCAAGGCCGCCATGGAGCCCTGATGGGCTAACGATCATATCACCCCGACGGCCACAGAGCCCCGACGCGACCACGCCCCGGTAGCTCCACGTGACGGCGTCCCCATAGCCTGGTAGGTACATGCGATGGAGCCCCAGTGGCCGCACACCCCCAACAACTTGGCAGCCTCGCCTACGTCATCGTCTCCTCTCTCCTTGACCTCGCCCTACGTCGTCGTCGTCGCCCATCATCGTCTCGGTCTTGCTCACATTGCCGTCTCATCAGGTTGCCCCTTTGTTGCACGAGCCGTCATCTCCACGCCTCATGCCATTGTCGTTCCGATCTCAGCATCTTTTCTCGCCGCCTCGCCTACGTTGATATGGTTCCTTGCGTATTTGGTTTAATTGGTGTTCAATTTAATCCAATTTGTATTCAGTTTATTTATTGAGTCGTTGTATTGTATTCGGTCTCTCCTATTGCATCTGTTTTATTTATTGAGTCGTTGTATTGTATTAGATTTCTCCTATTGGATTCGTACGGGGAGTCCATCACGTTGGAGGCGGCGACACAAATCAAGGAAAGAAAAATTATTAAAGATTTGATCCAAACTGAACGGCCCTTTGAAAAGAGGATTATCGGACAAGAAATCAGAATCCGAGTAGAGATCAGAGTTGGACGAAAAAAATTGTGACATAAATTTTGCCTCTTTATTATTAGGTATAGATATTGGTGCGATGCGGACGGCGATGAATCCACGGCAACAGATAGAGCAGTGAGGGCCCACATGAACAGTGTCAGAGGCAGCCTCCGGCCTTCAATTTCGGCCTTGTTTAAATCCAGGGGCTAAAGTTTAGGGATGTCACATCGGGTTGTCATATGGGAGTGTTCGGATAGTAATAATAAAACAAATTACAGAAGTCCTCGGTACTCCGCGAGATGAATTTATTAAGCTTAATTAATCCGTCATCAGTACATGCTTACTGTAGCTTACTGTATCACCACATTGTCAGATCATGGACTAATTAGGCTTAAAAAACCGTCTCGCAAATTAGTCGCAATATGTGTAATTAGTTATTTTTTAGTCTATATTTAATACTCTATGCATGTATCAAATATTTGATATGATAGAGACTAAATTTTAGAGGAAGAAACTAAACACGGCCTTAACAGTAGCACAGAACGGTGCCTAATGGCCTGGGACTCGGAGGGGATGTGCGGTAATAGTAGAAAAAAGGCTTAGGTGGCATGGCTAATCGAGGGGCAATTTACCCCGCGTTGAAGAGGTACCTTATACTTGTCAAATTTCATGGAGTGTAGAACACATTAGAAATGAGCCTGTTTGCTGGTTGGTGCTGGTTTGGGCTGGCTGGTGCTGGTTTTGGTTTTTTGTGAGAGAAAAACACTGTTAGCTGGCTAGTTTGGGCTGGCTGAAACCAACAAGCGAACAGACTGATTGCTACTTTGGGTTGATGTTTGAAAAGCTGGTCCCTTGGAGGTGGAGCAAGGAATCATGATGATCTGTCAAAATCCCAGGCTCCCAGCTGCATGGCTGTACTCATCAGCATATCAAAAGTTCACAGTCCATCCATCAGCCTGTTTGTTTGGGCTGGTTTGGTTTGTAAACCATGACTAAAAGTATTATTAGCTGATTTTATATGAGAAAAAAATATTATTTATTAATTGATAAGCCAGATACGAGCTCCCAAACAGGCTGCGTATCCATGGTAACGGTGTCTGTGTGACTCCAAGTACTTGTGTACCAGTGACCAGATCCTGAATAGTGCTGAAACGGAATAAAGGGGCACGATTTGGACACGTGACGGCCGGCCCCTGCTCTGCCTCATCATCATCCCTTTCGCCTTTCCTTGTCGCGTACCACTCGAATAAATCCATCCTCGACAATGCATGATCCATCATCATCATCCTATTCATTCCATGGCTGCAAATCGCCGACGTACGTACGTATATATACCATTCCTTGCAAAAATATCTCCCTCTCGCCTTCCTTCTCCTTCCTCCAGCGCTGACTCGCTGAGCCCGTGACTGCGAATGCCACGCGACATCATGCTCTGCTCTGGGCTCTGCCCTCTCCTCCCGGTCGCGCACGCGCCAACGCTCACTGTCCCTGGCCAACCGATACGTACCCCGCGTTGCTGTCGCGGGACACGCAACGGAGCCTCGGAGCTTGGACGAGTCGTACGTAACGTAGCTGGCTGTTCTGAATCGGAATCCATCCTGATACAGCAGTCGCCCGTCGAGCTGTCCTGTAATCCTGTTTACAGAGAGAGGGGAGAGCAGAGAGAGTCCGGCTTGTCATCCTCTTGGTGCCCACCTGGCCAGGCCACCTCTCACAGTCACAGAACGAACCAGCATCTTGCTTTTCCCTTCCCTTCCCTTCCGATGGTACTCTACTCTATTAGAGCTCCTCCGCCAGGTCCTCGGTCCTCCCAGGCTCCCATCAGCGTCCAACTTTGGCCGGCCGGCCGTGAGAAACGAAACCAAACACCCTGCCGCGCGCTTCCCCTCCCCCGGCCAGTTCCTTCCGCCGCCCATTGCTCCAAGGACCCACCCACCCGATGCGACCCGCCCCAAGGTTCCGGCCCGCGACGGCGCCGGGTGCTCTTGCTCTAGCGCCGACTCATCCGGCGGCGGAGATGCGGGCCTAAATGAAGTGAGGCTCGTCATCGGCCGTGTTATTAGGCCAATGGCCCCGCTCCGGGTGATGCTCCTCCGCTTGGCGCTGCTCGCCGTGGCCGCGGTCACGGTCACGGCGGCAGCGCGGCCCAGCGAGGTGGCCGTGGGCTCGCTCTTCACCTACGACTCAACCATTGGCCGCGCCGCGCGCCTCGCCATCGAGCTCGCCGTCGACGACGTCAACGCCGACCGCACCGTCCTCGCGGGCACCCACCTCAACTTGCTCGCCCAGGACACCAACTGCAGCGGCTTTCTTGGGACCATCGAAGGTTGGCTCCTCTCTGCTCTTCCCGTCTCTAGTCTTCTTTGTTGCTCATCTTAGTAGTACTAGTGATTTCGAGTGCAAAGAAGATTGAACTTAGAATACCGATTTTGTTTTTTTTATTCCTAATTTCGCCTTTTCTTTTTGTTTGAAAAAAAACAATGGTTTTGATTCGAGGTCAGCCTTGCAGACTAAATGTTTGTTTGCTAATTCGAGTGATCAGGGGCTGCTAAATTAGCCCGAACTGTTTTCTTTTAATTGGAATGATTCGGCCTACAGTTCCAACTATTCACAAAAGAGAAGTGGTGACCACGAAGAAAAATTCCAGCTTTCAGCCTGATCGCTTGGTGGTATTTAGCTTATAAGTGATGGCTTATCATCCAACGAATAGTATTTTTCTCTCACACAAAACCAACCAACTGTACTTTCAGCCATGTCTTATAAGCCAAAAAGCCCAAAAGAAGAGGGCGTTTAGCACTAGCAGCAGCGAGCAAAATGAGGGTAACCAAACAGAGTAACGTGAGTGCTCATTTCTGGACTTCTTTAGATGTTTGTTAAGACCTCTACCCTCCGACAGTTTAAACATAGGCCTTCTTGATATATATAAAGGGAGTTTTTTTTTTTTGAGCAACTTACAACGGGAGTAGATGATAGTGGTGGAGAAGATGCCAGCACAATCTGACATGTGCATCTGTTCTATAGGTATGGCGGTCCTTGTAAAATATTGATCTGCAATCTGCACGCCCTTAAAGAAACAAAGTGGGCGCCACTGCTTGATTCAGAATGCCAGAACTTGCACGTTGAGAGTTAGTAATCAATAATTACAGTAATACTTATTAGTAGCCTTGCTTTGTTGCTTTCCCGTCCTCTTTTGCAGTATCGAGTCTTTTGGAACATGGAGGAAGAAAGTATGTTCTCTTCATCCGTTTTTGTTTCTGGAAATTCATTCAATTTGCGGTTTCATTGAGTTACCATTGTTGGACTGTTTTTTCCCTGTTTCAGAGTCCCTCTTGGGTTAGGTAACCCATATTTATAGGACCTAAATGTTGACTGCCAAGTGATATTCGTTTCAATGTATTATTTCTTGAGTGTCTTTATCTGTCTGAACTAAGGTCAAGATGCCCTCTTGCACATTATTTATACTTGTCAGTCCTCCCTCATTAGTCTAAATGCAATAATTGCCTGCCTCGTGTCTCATGAGATGATTTGGTAATGTTTAAACTGGAAATGAAGAAAGCAACTGCTACTTGAAATTATGATGATGACCTTGTCCTTTCTTGAGAGTTTTGCTAACCAGACTGTCCTGGTAATAGAAGAGAAACAGACGAAAAGCATACTGGTACAGTGGTACCACGAATGGCACAACATATGAAATCGCTTGTGGTATTCTGTATGGTGCAAGAAACATGTCTTAACTATTAAGGGGCATCCGAGCCTTCACTTTCTTCTCATGCAATATTCATTTTCCTTTCTTGTGTCATACATTGAAGACTGCTCCTCTTTGTGTGAAGCAACACTAGTTTTCCTGTTTTTGTCACATATAAGAAAGTTTGATTAGCATGAGTCAAGTTTTAGGAAGTTAGACCATATAAGCAGAATGAAAACTTACAAAAGTGAAAACTTTGATTAATCAGCTGTACCTGCTGCTCGCTTGGATGGTCCATGAACTGATTTATAAAAAAATTTACTTTGTTTCAGCATTGCAGCTAATGGAAAGAAATGTGGTTGCTGTTATTGGCCCACAATCCTCCGGGATAGGCCATGTCATCTCCCATGTTGTTAATGAGCTACATGTACCTCTTCTATCATTTGCGGCTACAGATCCTACTCTTTCTGCATCAGAGTATCCGTACTTCATCAGGACAACCATAAGTGACTACTTCCAAATGAATGCTGTTGCTAGCATTGTTGATTACTATCAGTGGAAAGAGGTGACTGCTATATTCGTTGACGATGATTATGGGCGAGGTGGTGTGTCTGCCCTTGGTGATGCGCTTGCAGCAAAGAGGGGCGAGGATTTCATATAAAGCAGCTATTCCTCCGAATTCAAATACAGAAGTGATCAATGATGTACTGTTTAAAGCAAATATGATGGAATCAAGGGTCATGGTTGTGCATGTCAATCCTGACACAGGGATGAGAATATTTTCTGTTGCTAACAAGCTCCAGATGATGGCCAGTGGCTATGTCTGGATAGTAACTGACTGGCTAGCTGCTGTCCTGGATTCCTTGACGTCTAGAGATCGTAAAGATATGAGTCATCTTCAGGGACTGATTGTTCTTCGCCAGCACATTCTTGAATCTGATGCCAAGAACAAGTTCACATCTAAATGGAATAATGCGGCTCGTAATAGAAGTATTACTTCTGGCTTGAACTCATATGGTTTTTATGCTTATGACTCAGTTTGGGTTGTTGCTCGTGGTATCGATCAATTTCTCAATAATGGGCAGCAGATCAACTTTTCTACAGATCCAATGTTGCATGATTCTAATGGCAGCACTCTGCATCTATCAACTCTCAAGATATTTGATGGTGGCGAGCAGATGCTACAGCAACTTCTGCTCACAAATTTTACAGGCCTAACTGGTCCAGTCCAATTTAATTCAGATCGCAATTTGGTACACCCAGCATATGACATCCTTAACATCGGTGGTTCTGGCTCCCGGTTGATTGGCTATTGGTCCAATTACTCAGGCCTCTCTGTTGCTGCTCCTGAATTTTTGTATCAGAAGCCACCAAATACTTCTTCACTTGCCCAGCGGCTCCACAATGTGGTTTGGCCAGGTGATTCCACCACTACTCCTAAGGGGTGGGTTTTCCCGAACAATGGCCAGCCTCTGAGGGTTGGTGTCCCAATGAAACCAAGCTTTAAGGAATTAGTGGCAGGTGGAAAGGGCCCTGATAATGTGACTGGTTATTGCATTGATATATTCAATGCAGCAATTAAACTGCTTCCTTACCCAGTTCCATGCCAATTCATAACAATTGGGGATGGCAGAAAGAATCCTAACTATGATGACATTATTAATATGGTTGCTGCCAATGTATGTTCTCATTCTTTTTTCGTTGTATGTTACCATTTTGTTGTCAGTCCTCTGATTTGTTTTCATTTCATTTAGTCCCTTGATGCAGCTGTAGGCGACTTTGCTATTGTGAGAAACAGAACAAAGATTGCAGAATTCACACAGCCTTATATTGAGTCAGGGCTTGTGATAGTAGCACCAGTGAAACAAGCAACTTCAAGTGCCTGGGCTTTCCTTAAACCGTTCACATTGGAGATGTGGTGTGTAACAGGTGCTCTTTTTATTTTTGTGGGGATAGCTGTTTGGATTCTTGAGCATCGGAGTAATGAGGAGTTTCGAGGCTCTCCACGACGACAACTTATAACAATATTTTGGTATGCTTCTGTCACTACTTAGGAATGTATTTTATCCTGGGTTACCAAGTCTGGCTTGGTCGAAATTCATTATTTTGTTGGTAATTTATTCTAATTGACTGACATTTCATTATTATATTTCAGGTTTAGCTTCTCAACAATGTTCTTTTCACACAGTAAGTCCACTAGATCCATCACATGATATTATGCTTAATTCGTCCATGATCCTTTCCCTGTCTGGATGGAAACATCTTGACAAGAAACTCACTGCAGGACAGAACACTGTAAGCGCGCTTGGGCGATTTGTGTTGATCATATGGATGTTCGTTGTCCTGATCATCAATTCAAGTTATACTGCTAGCTTGACGTCAATCCTCACAGTCCAACAGCTCGCATCAGGAATAACTGGGATCGACAGTTTGATTTCAAGTGGTTTACCTATTGGATATCAGGATGGAAAATTTACCAGAAATTACCTGATTGAAGAGCTCAATATTCCTGATTATCGATTGGTACCACTAAATACGATCCAGGAGTATGCTGATGCCCTTAAACGTGGACCAAAAGATGGCGGTGTTGCTGCAATTGTTGATGAGATGCCATATGTTGAGATCTTCCTGTCATACCACTGCAATTTCAGAATAGTGGGACAGGAGTTCACCAAGGAGGGATGGGGCTTTGTATGTTCGTCTTTCTTTCTCTACCTTTTCTGTATTTGTTCACCTTGTTTTGATAACTGCTCCCATTGCATCTCATGGAAGCATACATCCCTGTTCGGTACTGCAATTGAAATAATTTATTCTTCTCCATTGTTCTTTACAGGCATTCAAGAGAGACTCCCCCCTTGCTGCAGACTTATCGACAGCCATCCTTCAACTCTCAGAGAGTGGCCAGCTTCAGAGAATTCACGACGAGTGGTTCACACGGCCTAGTTGCTCCTCTGATGACAGCGAAGTGGGAGTAACCAGGCTTGGCCTCGGAAGCTTTTGGGGCCTTTTCCTCGTGTGTGCCCTGATATGCCTCTTGGCTCTGGTGGTGTTTTTCATACGAATATGCTGGCAGTATAACAAGTACTCCAATTCTGAAGCTGCTGGTGAGCCCAGTGCAGCAGCAGCAGCTGCAGCTGCAGCAGATGCTGCTGCTGCTTCCACTGATGCTGTGGAAAGACAGCGGAGGCCATCACGCCTTGGCAGCTTCAAAGAGATTATACAGTTTGTCGACAAGAAGGAGGAGGAAATTAAGAGAACGATGAAACGAAGATTAAGCGAGAAAGATAACCAAGCTGCAGGATCCTCAGATAAAGATAACCAAGCTGCAGGATCCTCAGATGCTCATTCAGTGCCTTCAGCATAGAACATATTTCCAACTTCAGTCCTTCAGAAGGCAAAGCAATGAAGCACATATACAGATAACATACTGAATTAGGTTCTCGCTCCTCAAAACATATATTGTATGATAATCTAACTAGCTTCAAACTAAAAGGATTTGTTGTTGCAGTAGGATGATCTAAGAAACCATTTTTTATCAGGGTCATTAGAATTTCTTATCAAATATACACGGTTTCTATACTAAACAATTGTCCATGCAATTGAATTCTTTTTCAAGCTGTGCAAAGTGTATATTTTTTGGGAAAATTGTGTTCTTACCTTGTTCAAGAGTTCAATTATGATTTTGCCCTTATTTTTTAACTTTGTGATTTTACCTTTATTATTTTAAAATGAATCATCCGTCCACCCTGGTTTGGATGCCGTTAGATAGACATGGAATAAATAAATTAAAAAAAAATCGAAATCTGTAAAAATGAACGCGAAAAAGACCAAAATGCCCTTATCCTTATCTTCAGCCTCTCCTTCGTCCAACCAGGAAAACGCGAGTGCTGCATCGCGGCTACATCGAGCAGGGGCATCGGGCGCATCCGGCGGCGGCTGCTCCCGGCCTCGGGGCTAGGCCCACGCGGGGTGGCGGCGACTCCCGCCTTGGTCTAGGCCCGCGCGGGGCGGCGGCTGCTCCCGGCCGTGGAGCTAGGCCCGCGCGGGACAGCGGCGGCGCTCGGCCGCGGTGCTCGGCCAGCAGTGCAGGGACGCCGCCGCTGTCCTCCGTTGTCGCACAGCCGCGACGGATGCTCGGCCACCGCTTCCCCGCCGCCCTCCGCCTCCCGCGCGGTCTGCTGCGGAGGAGGAGCGTCACCCGCCGCGGCCTGTCCGACTCCTCGCATGCGCCGGCAGGAGCAACTGAAGCATGGCACCCGCCGACGGTTGCCGCAATAGCTGAATCATAAGCCAGCTCTTAGCATTGTTTAGATATTTTTTTTAACAGAAGAGAGAGAGAAACTGAGTCTTAATAAAGATCTAGGCTTGTACATATATTTTAACATCATGCGAGAGTATCATTTGAACCAAAATTTTTTATGAGATATTGCTAAGAGCTACTTTCTTCGTCCAGAAAAAAAAACATAATTTTAACTTTAATCTGAACGTCCATCGTGTTTAGGTTTAAAGTTAGAATTGTATTTTTTATTTCTAAATAGTATCGAAAAAGTTGACTTTGAGATGCTAACTTTACGGGTGCCCTCATCCGCCGCCTGTGGGGGATAGAGGCTGGAGCCGTCGGCAAGGAGTTGCTGCAGGCACCGTCTGTGTTCAGGATTGGGTGACGGAGCGCAGCGAGGTCACGAGGAAGAGAAGAAAGACCTTTATTTAGTTTTTTTTTATTTGGTGGGTCCCACCACATAACCCAACCCAATCCAAATGAAGCCAAACGTGGGAAATAAATAAAGCTCGTACCCAATCCAAATTGTGTGCCCACGTTGGTATGGTGCGGATTTGTTGCTAAGGTGCTGTCAAAATTTTAAATATTTTTTTAATATTAAATATGATTTGAAATAACTACAAATTATGCCAAATATATTTGACAAAATGTAACAATTTTTTTGTCAAAACACAATATAAATGTATTATCCAAACTAGGGGTAAAATCACAAATACTCATAAGAACTAGGGGCAAAATTATATGGGCATTTTTGTCCAATTATACAAAAGTTAACACCGTTAGGGGAGGATGACGGAATAGGGGCAAAGTGATACGTTTTGAAAACATAAGGATAAATTCATAAAGTTTAAAAAAAACAAGAGCAAAATCACAATTTCGATTCAAAATAGGGATATAAATGCAAGAGCCCCCTTTTCCATTTGCATCTCTAACAAACATCTTTTTGAATGGGTTTTAACCAATACGAGCTCTTTTACAATGCCCTCTAACAACTTAAATCTAAGAGTAACTTTAAGAGTCTCTTTATTTCCTTTCGAATTGATAGGAATAGAGATTTTGATGAAAAAAAGTCTGTCAGCTTCTTCAACTAGATCACTATATATTACCATCATCTATTCCTAGTTTCTCGCTCGTTAAAGATATAGGGCGGAGCTAGCTCTCCAAAATGCCAAACAAGATTTAGAGAAGAAGTTGGAGAGTGGAGAGATATAAAGATTAAAGAGCAGTTTTTCTTAGAATAGCCCTCAAAATGAGGATTTAGAGAGTGGGTTGAAAAAAGATGGTTGGAGATGATCTAATGGGTGCGATTAAGTTAGGATGTTAAGTATAGTCCATGAGAACTTTCTTGTCATATCGCCTGATCAATCAATAGTAAACTGCTATGACCTGACATGAAAGTCTAAGAAGCAAATATAATTCATCGGTATATGCCAATATGCTTGTTAAATGTTAGTTTTAAAATTTTTACTAAAGTGGTCACTGTTAGATTAACTTGGTTGTAGATCATATAGTTGCTCCAACTCAAACCGCCTTCATGTGAGGGCACAATATCCTTGAGGGAGTCATTAATCTTGCATGAGATAGTTCATGAATTAGTATCATAAGAAGCAAAATTGGATTATATTTAAAATATACTTCAAAAAGACATAGGACAAAATGAGATGGCCTTTCTTACCGCAAATATTGTAGAATAAATGTTTTCTCCTAAGTGGATCATCTCTTGGACACAAGGTTTTATATCAGATAGGAGCATGGCAGTCAATGTTAATGATGAGGTCGAGCCTTATTTTTAAATGAAGAAAGGTATTCGACGAATGAAGGATCCATTATTTCCCATTATGTTTAACATTGTATATAGCCAACATGCTAGTAGTACTAATCAAAAGTGTCAAGGCAGTGTGTGTCACTGGGGCTAAGTAAAACTACCTTGGGCATAGTTCCACCAGATGATCCGCTAGGTTTCAAGCCTATCATTTGGTGCACGTTCAGGCGTATTTTTCAAGTCCATTTTAAGTTCGACCTCGTAAAATTTAACTTTTTTGAGATCCTTGGCTTAAAACCACTTTAATGGGGCCACTTAATGCCACGATCTTGACCAAGAGTTATCCTCTTGTGCATTGAACTCCCGCAGGAAGATGCCTTGAACCCACCAACACCCCCCCCCACCTAATAGTACAGCCAACAGAATAACATAGCCCTAATACACACTACAATGATATTTTTCAAGCACCAAGCTGACATTCGCTCTATTGTGTTTTTAGTCTTTATGAGTATTCTTTGCGCCATACAATAATTAACGATACGAATCTTTGGGGCCAAGACACTTGTGGGCTGTGGGCATTCAACTTGTGACTAACTCCAATGTATGAATACTGTTGCAAAACACACATTAGTCCAAAGCTTATGCTCATCAATCATCAAAACCTCGAATCACCAAAGTGGGGCCTAGATGTGTTCAAATGTCGATGTTGATATGCTTCGTGTGACGATGATGAACGGGGTTTCCTGTCATATAGATAGCATTGACTTTGTCCCGGTAGACCACCGTCAGAAAAGCATGCGGTACATGAAGTTCCTACAGAAAGTTGTCCTCCACAACGGCATGTTCCACAACGTGTTATTCTGCCTCTGCACTAGAACAGGAGATTGTACTCTGACACTTGAAAGGCCATGCACCATGGCAGCAGATTATCGTCGACAAAGACGCAGTTACCAGACATGTAGTGCCGAGAGGCGAGAGTTGGCACAGCCTGCCTAGTCCGTATCAGAGAATGTGGTTAGAGACTATATCCAATATAAAACCCAGTAGACAGGATGCCCTTCACAAAGCGAATGATGCGCTTGATCAACGTGCAATGGGGCTCCCAAGGATCCTGCTAGCTGTTGAACTACATACGCCAAGTCAGAATGAGCAACGGCGGACTCAGCTGAAAATTATAAGTGAGACGGAGAGCAAACTAAATAATAATAAAAATATTTTGCACTAATATGCCATATTTATTTATATCCAAATTATAAAGTACAGAAAAAAAAATCCCAAACATCACCTCACTCCTCCAAATCTTCAATCAAGGCGTCTAGCAGGTCTATATGTCCAGAACATGAACAATTGAACCAATTTTTTTAACTCTCGTATTTTGTCTTTTTGTTGCTCTTGCTACATCCTGGCTATGGATGAAAACGGACAAAAACGGGCGGAAAAACTCCTCTCCCATTTTCGTTTCTATATTTTTAGCGGAAACGGGATCGGGTTCGGAAAAAAAACGGAATTAAAAACGGATGGGAATATACGGAAATACGGAAACAAACAAATATGGACGGAGAGCCGGAAAAATAAATTAGAATAACATGATCAAATATTTTTGAGTATACATGAACAAAGTCACAAAATAATATACACATACGAAATTATCGGTCCAATATTCACTAATATACTATGTGTTAACATGTTAACATGCATAATTTGTGATTAGTAGGTTTATGAACGTATCAATTTCTAGACATATCTCACATAGATTGAAAACGAGATGAAAAACGGAATAAATACGGGTCAATTCTGGATAAAAACGGGATCTCGCAGAAACGGACGGAAAAACCCCTTTCCCGTTTCCGTAATCCCACAAATACGAAAACTGACGGACGGAAGAAAGTAGAAAACGAAAGGGTCAGAACGGGATTTTTTTCGTCCGTTTTCAACCTTAATCCTGGCCGCTAGCGCTGGCACCGGCGCTCCTCGAATTGAACTCCATTCCCTGCAGCCCCTCGCTTCCCGTTCCTCCATGGCCACAGGAGGCAAGTTGCAGTTGCCATCTCCCTCTTGCACATCCACAGGAGCCAGTTGGCGCAGGTTGCCGTCATCTTGCACTGCTGCTGCCATCGCCGAGTGACCGAGCGGAACCGCGAGAGAGAGAGGAGGGATCGAGCACGGTAGTGGGCGTCCATGTGAGCGAGCACTAAGGCCTGTTGGGCGAGCCGGCGAATAACAGCTTGGGCCATCGCCTAGTGGATCCAACAAGTAACAGGCCAAGCCCAAGTCGGCAGTTCAACAGTTAGGCCGCCCACCAGAGCAGGCCGCACACAGCGGAGGGACTCTCGTGGCTTTTGTCTTCAGCTTTAGGAGCCTTAATTAGTTAGGAAAGTAGGCCGAGAAGATGGGTGGTGCGAAGGAGTCCTAGAGGCTAGTTGGGCTGTCGAAATAAAAATAACTAGCCCGCGAAGCATCAGCCTCAGTCACCTCCCGGCGGATGATTGGCCGATGTCCAGCCCAGTAGCGCTAGGAAGTGGGCCGGGAAAGATGACCGGGCCCCCAGTTGGTAGTTTGTACTAGGCTATATGAGAGCCAGGCACGGGCACCTGAGGCCTGAGGGTGGTGGATCAGTGGATGCCGTACAAATTAATTACTGGCTGGTGGAGAGTGGAGACGCAATGGTCGACGACGACGGGACCTGTGGCCGCTGCGACATGGCACGAGAAAAAATCTCCCTCGCCTGCGCCCGTGGCAACAAAATTCTACGTGCAGTCGCCTCAACCTCACATTCAGCCACCATGTTCACCTGTCTCGCTCGCTGTCCGATCCGTGCGCGTGCATATATACTTTCTGTCCACTCACCTGACTTGGCTCGTCGGCGGTCATCCTCACCCTCACCGGCCGTCGTCTTCACTATCGTAATAATGCCGCAACTACCATCGAAATTATTCGGGCCAATTTTCCTTGTCCGCCCTCGGTCGATGTCCTTCAGCCTGTTCGTTTGACTGTGGTTTGTCGTAAACGATCGTAAATTTTTAGTTAGAATAGTATTTTTCTCTCACATAAACTAGCCAATAATACTTCTTCATGAACCAGCAATGAAACGAACCAGCCAACCGAACAGAGCGCTTGTCCTTGCAGCTTCAAGAACCTGCATGTCCACCACCCGTCATGGGGCTTGCATTGCCTCCCACTGATGAGGTGAGGTCTCCGCCTGTTCCAACACTTGCCTTCTCGTCGGCTATAGTGTTGTCCCGCCAAGCGACGCACAACTTGCATGCGCCATCGTCTATCCTCTCCTCCCAGTGCACATCGTGTCATCGGACACCACCTATGCATGGTTGCCATCGATCATCCACTGGTACGGTGGTGCAGCCTTGCTATCTTAGTTTCTGTGGCAGTAGCAACTAGCAACGCACCATGCTGGCCTACGAAGCCACGAGCCAGCTGATGGGTGGCGATGGAGTCCTAGAGGCTGCTGGTTGAGCCGCTAGGAAGTGGGCTGGGTGAGCCGGTGGATGCCGGCCTCAAGCAAGGAGCAAAGAGATAAAAGAGAGAGTTAGCTTTTCCTCCCTCAGCTCTAGAATCAGAAATAGTTCCTCCCTTATGTCTCAAAACCTGTCACTTTTCTCTTGGTGGTTTTTCTTTTTTTCTTTTATGTTTATTTCGACTGAATCTTTGAAAAAAATCATAGTAAATCACAAAAAAATCATGAAATAGAAAATCCAATTGTGTTGGACTCCATATGAGTAGATCTATACAGTGAACATATGATATACTATGTTTCAGCACAAAGTTTTTGCTGTGACTTTAGATCTATGTTTTTCTATAATTAGTTCATAGCTGCAGTTCTCTCTGGTCCAATTATGGTGAAATTTTTATGGTTGGCTAAAAATTTCATGATGTATGACTGAGCATTAAATTTTGGTTACAGTTCAAGCATGCAATAATTAATCCACCACAAAAATTTCACCATAATTGGACCAGGTAACTGCAGCTATGAATTAATTATAGAAAAACATAGATATAAAGTTACAGTAAAAACTTTGTTCTAAAGCATATATTCACTGTGTAGATCTACTCATGTAGAGTCCAACAAAATTTGATTTTTTATTTTATGATTTTTCTATAATTTACTATAATTTTTCAAAGATTCAACTGAAATAAACGTAAAAGAGAAAAAATCACCAAGGGAAACAGCAATGAAGGTCAAGTGATTGGTTTTGAGAGATGAAGGAGAAATTATTTCTGGTTTTAGAGCCGAGAGGAAAAGCTGAATTTTACTATAACGGACTTTTTTATCTACAAATTTCTACTGGCTGGTGGAGACGAAGGGTCGACGGTGGCCGCGACATGCCCAAAAAAAAGATCTTTCTCGCCTGCGTCGTGACTCGTGATAACAAAGATTCTTTGCTTTCGTGACCGTCTCTATCGCACTGTACAGTCTACAGTGGCGTCAGCGTCACAGCATTCAGCCACCAGATATTCACCTGCCTCGCTCGCTGTCTGCCTACGTCACCAGTCTACAGTGCGTCAGCGTCACACGCTACTCGCTGGCTGGCTGGCTCACCTGGGCCAGTCCTTCGATGTCTACTACTGGCCTGTGGCCTCTGACTTGCTCGTCGGCGGTCGGCCTCACCGGCTGCCGTCGTCTTCGTCGCTTTCCCTCTCCTCAACCAATGCCTCTCGTTTCTTCTCTTCCTTCCCAATTATGGTGCCAAGAGCAAGGAACAAACCATCTGACATCTGAACGTGCGCGTGTTGTGTGCTTATTAGCTAGCGGGATTGTATTTCGATATTTCTTCCACCAAAGTTAGAACAATTTAAAATCTGTATTTTTCTTTTTTTGCGCATAAAAATCTGTATTTTTCAAATGTTCAAGGTTTCGTCGTGGCTCTACATCCCAAATTTGTGGGACAAAAAGAACAAAAGAAAACACTGTGTTCACGCTCGTGCATCGCTATGTAAGTTGTCTCAATAGTGCCAAATTTTAGCTAGTTTATTGCATTGTTGTTTCGCGAGGCAAGGCGGTGATGCATGAGAGGATTTATGATTTAGAGGTACGTAATAAGTTTAAATGATAAAGTACTACACAGGTGTGTGCGCCTACGGTATAGTCTCTGTTAATTAGAGATATATAGCTGAGGCAGGCTAGAGTGGCTAGAAAAAGCAGCTTGCCGCTCGTACTAGGGTTTTCTACTAAACCCATTACTAAGCCCACTACCAATCCTCCAACCGACGAACTCGCCACTGATTCCAAAGTTCCTGCTACTGCCTTTGTCTTTGGCGCTAGTATTGTCCTGCCAAGCGGCACACAACTTGCACACGCCACCGTCTCTGGCGCAGTGGCGCCCCTCTCCTCTCCCCTCGATAACATGTTCGGAGGCCCAATAGTGCATCCCAGATGGCACGCACTCCTCCTAGCCTACAGTGTGTTTGATACCTCCTCGTGGTTGTCACCCTCCATTGTTGCAGTCTCGCTGCTATAGCTTCTGGCATCGCATTGAGATGTCCTCAAGGATTCCATTTAGAAGGGCATACATGGAGTAAAGGAGCACGTCAGCGACATCCAAGACCACAAAGACGACAACCAACACCAAGGAAGCCGCACCCACAGGGTCGCAAGGAGGGGCAGGGTGTCTCACCCAATGATAGGTGCAAAATGGGTATGCGTGCTACGTTGCCACTGGAAGGAGGGGGATCTGCCTTTATTGTCACTCAATCTGTCACGCTCTCAACCAGAACCACCGCGCTGCCGAATCTCTGACTGGATCCGCCTTCGGGTAGTTGGAAGGTGGAGAGACAGGCAGTGGGAAAGTGGAGGCTATGGAGGCCTGCTACGGGGAGAGAGGAGAGAGAGCCAAGATGATAGGAGGAGGTGGCTGAGAACTCTAAGTCGGGCTTTGGGTCTATTTTTTAAGATGGGTCTTCTAAGAGGTTCATCTATGAAAATCAGCTTTTATTTTTAGAGAGGCTTGTCTGTAAGATATGCCTCTATAAATAGAACAAATAGACTCTAAAAATTGCTGGATATTTTCGGAAGGCAGTGGTAAGAGGTTCCATTTGCAGCGATTGAAGGAGAAGGGTCACACACACGCACGCACGCACGCAAGCACATGCAAAGGTTATAGGCTGAAAGTTGGGATGCTGCTTGTGAGCCAACCGAAATTCTGAACAAAGATGCTTGCCTCACATCAATGCTCAAATATTCTTGTCGTTCCCTTTCGATTCAGTCGCAAATGATCCATGTGCCGGTCTCGATCGAGGCTTATGTACACATATACATACACATGCACATTGGCTCATCATGGACTGTGGTGCGCGGTTTCATCATCAGAAACACCCACATGTCCCGGGAAGCTTCCCCGTGGACCGTATGGTGTGTGCCTTGTCCCTGGCCTTCCTCTCGGCGCTCCTCCTCTTCTCCTCCGCCGTCAGCCTCGACGCGGCGGCCACCTTGTTGATCCTCGACATCTCCTCGTTGTACTCCTCCAGCGCCTTCGCACGCTTCCTCTCCGACTCACTCTACGAGAGATCAGATCGATCGGCAAGATTAATAAAACTAAACAAGTTCGTACGTTCCGATAAATCTTCTGAACAAAGCATAACGAAATGAACCTCATCTTTCAGCTCCTTTTGGCGCCTGGCTTTGGCCTTCTTCTCCGCCTCCCATTCAGCAATCGTCTGCATCGTCTCGTCGTACCTGCCAGAAATTAAATCGGTGGCAAATCAAACAAAACCAGTCGATTTTGCCTCCAAACAAAACCAAACTGATCACCAGCCGCTAGCTTACTGCTTCTTGATCTTCGCCAGCTTCTCCTTCTCCCAGGCATGTGCCATGGCTTCGTTTTCGCTGGAGAACGCCACTCCACCACCAGACGTGGTAGCAGCTCCACCACTCTCTCTACCGGCCGCCGAATACGAGCTCGACGTCTTGCTGTCCATTGGCCGTGCCGTTGGCTGCGCCGCCACCGTCTGGTTCCCCTGATCTTGCTCGAATCTCCTGCTTCCTCTCTTTTCTGAAGGTTTCCGGCTGAAACTGGGGTCCTTCCTTACGCGTGGTGCAGGGTCAGTGAAAGCAGGGGGCCTTTCATCTGAAACTGCACCCTCTGCTGGCTTCTTCTGAGCCGGTCTTAGTGGCCGATTCACTGATACATTAGCTGAAAATTTACCCAGATGAATATGACACATTAGCAAAAAAGAAAATCTCAAAATTACAGTTAGATATTCTTTCAAAAAAATTACAGTTAGATAGTATATATACCACCTTGTTCATCTTGGTAATCGTCGTCTATGGGCTCTTTACCAGTGAACCATCTCGAGGAAGAGGATCTGCTGCCTTCGAAAATTGGCTTCTTCAGGCTCTCGCCTCGCTTGGGTGTACGTGGTGACTTGCTGGACTGCGGCGTGGTCCGAGCAGGTCCATCATCCATGGAAGAAGCAGCAGCAGGACGCTGCTGCTTGTTTCCATTTCCACGCGCAAGCTTGTCCGCGACAGCATACGGCGGCCTCTCTTGAGACGCTAACAGCCTCTCCTCCTCTCGCGCGGCGATGGCGTAGGCGACTGCTGCCACCGTGGCTGCATACGCCGCGTCGTACTCCCCTGCTGCATTGCTCATTGGCCCTAAACAGAAATGCAAGCTTGGATTAGTCATCAGTCATCAGTCACCTGCCTCGACAAATTTCAACCGTTGGAAACGTAGATGATTAGGTGAAAACGACACATGTCTCAACTAATTTAGTTTCACCTCTGCGTGAACTTGTCCTTTGCTGAGATGGTACTGGTACTGTCTCGCCGCCGCCGCCACGATCTTCCTGCCTCACCCCAGAGAAGCTGACCCTGTGCAAACACCGCATATATGGTTGTGAATTTGAGCATCAAGATGGAGGAATGGAGGTAGTAGAAGCCAATAGACGAACGAAGTGACAAAGGTCTCTTGCAATTTACTACCTCAGATGTTTCAGATCGTCATCCATGGTGCATGCAAGAAGAACAATTCGTGAACAAACCAAACTAAAAGTCCAATCTTCGTCCTAAATGTAATGCGCAACTCCTAACTCCAATTTTCCAATAAGCTTAAGTAGTAAGCTATGCACTTGAACGCTATATAGAGAGGAGCTGAGGAAGAGGAGGAGGTTAGAGAGGGTATCAGGGTAAGTAAGAGCTGTAATACACGACACGAAAGCGCTAGTCTCGGAGGCACGGAATGCAGAGGATCAGAGAAGGCATGGCGGATCGGAATCACTTTGCCCAATTGAAATCTCAAAGAATCTTTCAATCCAATGGGGCAGCCAGCCTTTTGCTTGCCTTGCCCAGCCGATCAATCACTGTCCGCATGCGAGGCTAAAGTTTAGTGGTGTCATATCGAACGTTCGAATGCTAGTTAGGAAAATTAAACGTGAGCTAATTATAAAACTAATTGCACAGGAGTAGAGTAATTATCGAGACGAATCTATTAAGCCTAATTAATTCATAATTCGTAAATGTTTACTGTAGCACCACATTGTCAAACCATGGCTAATTAGACTTACTAGATTCGTCTCGTAAATTAGCCTCAGTCTGTGTAATTAGTTTTATAATTAGTCTATGTTTAATACTCTAATTGATACCAAAGATTCAATATGACATGCTAGATTTTTGCTCAAAAGAAAAGGGAGAAATTCTTTCCTTGTCTTGCTGAGCCATATATCTTGCGTGAGCGTGAGTGACACTCCTGCTGCACAGTATTGCACACGCACGTTCCGATCGATCGATCTCCGACCCGATACAGTCCTCAATGCAAGCTTAGCACAGTAGCAGCGAGATCGAACGACGGAGGAAGCAGAGCCACACACGCCGCTCGCTCGCACGCTGGCTCACCTGGGCCCGTCCGATGGGCGCCGACGGCTACGGCCCGCCCCCTGACACCAGTCACGACATGGCTAGCACGTCGGCGTCACCTCACCGGTTGGCTGACACTTACTTGCCAGGGCCGTCGCCTTCACTGTGCTTCCTTGCGCACCTCAAAACCAGCGCCTCTCATTCCTTCCTCCTCCTCTGCCTTCTTCTTCTTCCCAAGCAGCGCAAGCACCGATGCGGCTAGTGGTAGTGCTCCCGACGACGGCGGCGGCGCCCACCGTGCTTTAGATTGCTAGTGCGTGGCCGGCGCTTGGGTTGGGGCTGATGATGGGCGGTGTGGCTCAGTTGGTGGTGGTTACTGTGCTCTTGGCCACTGCCGCCGCCGCTGCGCGGACGGCGTCGGCGGCGGGGGCGCGGCCGAGCGAGGTGGCCGTGGGCGCCCTCTTCACGTACGACTCCACGATTGGCCGCGCCGCGCAGCTCGCCATCGAGCTCGCCGTCGACGACGTCAACGCGGACGCCAAGGTGCTCTCGGGGACCAAGCTCAACTTGATGCCCATGGACACCAACTGCAGCGGCTTCCTTGGCACCATCAAAGGTTGGTTTCTTTTTTCCGCCTCGCATCTACTTCCTCTGTTATGTACTAAAAATTCTAAGACAACCTAAGACAACACCCAAATAATGCATGTACTATAGATTATTCTAATTATAGAGTTTCTCCTTAAATCATGATTTCCTTTTTAACAAACTTTGTCAAATCTAAACATAACCATTATGTAGAATACATTATATTTTAATATAAATTTTAGAAGTGACAATGCACTATATTTTAGGATGGGGGAGTAGCTCTTTCCTCCTTCATGCATGTGTCAATCAAAGATTAGGATTTTCGTAAAAGCTTTTTGTTCATAGATGTATAGAAATATATATTATGGTCAGCACTAATCCTAATATCTATGGGAGAATCTCTATAGGTTTTTCCACGGGTAACCTTTTATGACTTTAAATTTTACTTGTATCTTAGTAAAAGAAAGCATAAAAGTCTACTTTGTAATTCGCCCACAAAAAAAATATTGCCCACCTAAAACTCAAATAAAATCGTGATTTATCCTGTCCTAAACAATGCATAGAAACCATAATGGTCTAAATTACCCTCTAGCCCAGGTTGAAATCCTCTGTTACTGTGGGTCGAGCCATTCCATCCCTTCCCTCTCATCATCACATAGGAGGCGGAATGGAGGGGACCTTATGATGGCGAGTGTAGTGGTGGAGCACTCAGTTCACAACGTGTGAGATGCCCACAAGCATGGTTGAAAATTACATAGATGTTCATTTTTGAACATCATGGACGCTTTCGGATCATATGAACCCAAATCCCTCATTCTACTCATAAAATCCCACTTTTTGTACACATTACTATAAATAATTTTCATAGACACCTCCTATTTTTCAGGTAGAGCTCACTGAGCAAAGCATTTTTAACTAGTCCTAGGAGCACTATAGCTTACAAACCGCCCCCTGAAGATACATTTTTAAGGACAGTTCCCCTAGTAGAAGTATAGACATTTTCAGAGGTGATTGGTTTAAAAAAACATCTCTAAAAATATGATTTCTAACGACGGTTGCTTATGTCAACTACCATTTTAATGGGTGATCTTTAGAGGCAATCGACTTAGTCAACGGTCTCTAAAAATTGATTTTCATGGACAGGTACAAGTCAATAGTCTTTAAAAATAACCACATAACAAATAAATTCATTAAATAAAGTCGGATGTAGACAGAATTTATATGGAAATCATAGAGAACGGTGAGATCTAGAACTTTGTACTTGAAGACTTTTTCATTTGAGATTGTTTAAGATCTTTTGTTAATTCTTAAAATTTAATTTATCAAATTTTTCAAATGGTCTCAAATGGAGACACGCGCTTTATAAAAGTTGTAGTGATAAACGAGATCTAAAATATTTAAGTTGGATTTTTTTTTTCATTTAAGATTATTTAAAGCCGAAATTTCAATATAAGAATAATTGTTCTATCCTGATTTCCCTCGCAATATCCGTATGTGTGTTCGCATATCCGTATCCATACCATTCTATCTAGCCATCATTTCCTAAGAATATTAACCTGGTTTCCTGGCAATATATAGAAGAAAAAAAAGACACAAGCCGGTGGAGTGGTACGACAATGGCATAACTATGAAATTGGTTAAGGTATCTTTGTAAGGTGAAAAAAAAACATATTTTAGCTGTTGCGGAGCATCAAATTCTTTACTTTATTCCAATCCAAGATTCCTTTTCCTTTGCGTCATGTTTGAACCCCAGAATAAAGTAAAACAAATAGGTTTCATGAGACTTCTTTGTTTTAACACAATGCAACATACTAGTTTCCATTTTTTCCAGAAAATAACAGGTTGAATCTTATAGTTACCACTCATTTATTTCGATCCGGCCCGAGATAAAACTAAACCAGCTAAAATATTTGGTCCGATTCAAATTTTTAGCCCATTCTAATACTATCCACTATTAGTTGAGGCCGTGCATCCATGCAAAACCAATGTTGAGAAAACACCAAACGTCACAGTGTTCAGCATCGACATGCGCCTGTGGGAACCAACATCAGACCATCATCTTCATTTCCTATTGAGTGAGAAAACATCGACGCTGACTGAGAAATAATTTTTTACTTCCTCATCATCAATGCATATAGGTTACTTGATGCTAGCTTTTTTAAGCTCGGCATCACTTCACACAATGGCACTATCCGATGTCCAAACTCACTTTTCCTTGTTTCAGCATCGATTGTGACTCACATTGTGGCTAATCTAAGGCCCAACAAAGAGCCCACAAATATTCCTCCATCATATCAATACGATGCTAAGTAAGGGTCTATTTAGTTACAAGTAATTTTTATGATGCCAATATTAGACCGTGTTTGGTGGGGCTCCATCCACATTGTTTCTCCACCGGATCGGCGGAGCTGCAAATCATGGCTCCGCCTCCGTATGCCAAAAAGGGCTCTGCTGTGGTGTAGAAGCGCTCCTCCTCCCGTATCCGTTTGGCGCGGCTCCGCTGACGCGGCGCCGGAGCCAAAGCGCTACAAAATGTGCCCTTAAGTCAAGCCAAGATATGGTTACACCAGTATTAAAGTAAGCCAATATGGAGTATTTTGTAAGACAACCAATGTTGGGACTTCGTTTGGTACCAAAAAAAGAGAGAAAGAAACTGTTTTCTTAAAATTTTGGCACCAAACCAATTACCTATCAAATTTCTTAAATTTACCCATATTTTGGCTTGATAAAAAAACGGCTTGCAACCAAGTAGGCCCTAAAAACTTTGGGCCTGCAAGTTGACTTCTAAAACTTGCCTAACCAAAACATAGATCTATCAAATTTAAGGCCCCCCAAATTAGGGCAAAAGATTATAGAAATGCATTTGGTTGAGGGCCATAACATAGTAGTGGATACCTCTTCCTCATGAGTTTACCATGATTTTAACCATAAAATTTGGTGTCCATTTTCTTAATCAAAATCAATATATGCCTTAATTTTGGTTAGACAAGTTTTTGGTTGCACCAAACAAGAGGTGTACTGTACGTAGGACATTGCATAGCAGCGGATCACAGTGGAACCCTATATAAATATAAAATATATCGATTGATGAATGTGGGGCCAGGTAGCCTGTATTATTGACTTTGTGCATCCGCTCTTCATTGCCAGTAACACAGGTTATATGGCCTCACATTTATCTTTGGGTCATGCTAGCGCCCGCGCCCGTGCCCGTGCCCGTGCCCGTGCGTGCTGCTGCGCCTACCCATGCACTGCTACGGCCCGCGTCTCCTCGTGTTGCGTCTGCTCGGGAGAGCATGTGTCTGGATCTGCCCAGCTACGTGCTAAAGAGGGAGCACAGCGTGCAAACCCTAATGCGAGAGAGAAAGACACAATGTGTGTGTCCCAATGCGAGAGAGACCATTGAGAGAGAGAGGGGGGAAAGAGGGAGGCAGGGAGCACAGCGTGTATACCCATGTGTTGAGCATGCTTTATCATGGGGACCAAGCCTGATGTGTAGGGGCGCCTGGTTCTGCGTGTCCGAGAGTCGGAGCGCGTGAGGAGCAGCACCTACTGAACATACTGAAACAAGGTGAAATAACTGAAACATACGTTTGTAACACGTGTATAACCACTACAACATACGTCTAAAACAAGTGAAAATTTTGGAACATGCACTTGCAACATATGTGCATAGCCACTATAACATATGCAACATACAGATGAAACAGCTGAAACATTTGGAAAACACACTTGCAACAAACGTGTATGGCCACTGCAACATATGCAACATCCAGATAAAAACACTTACAACATACGTTTGAAATAGCTAAAACATACATTTGCAGTATATATGTATAGTCATTGCAACATATGTAACACTAGATCTACTTTTACAATATCAAAATAAAATAGATGTAACGTACATTAAAATGTATACGGTTGTAACGTGTGCTATCTATTTGCTGCCGTTCACGATGGCTCGTTGACACCGGCGCTGGAAAGCGCAGCGCAAGGCGTGGGCGGCGCAGAGGCACCACGGATGGTGTGAGACACGGGCGGGGTGCGTGGCAGGTGGCACGAGGCGGGTCCGCTCGCGAGGCGTGAGGCGCAGCGGCGCGCGCGAAGCGGGTTCGTTGCGTGGCGCGAGGCGGGTCTATCCAGATCTTTTTAATAAAATGGAGAAAGGGAGTTAGGCCAGCAAATGCATTTGTCCGGCCAAACAGATGCTCGGTAGAGAGCATTACAGGTCATCATGGTAGTTTTTGGAACCCAAGCGAGGAAACCAAGCAGGCCCTTCCTCACGGTCCGCAGCCAACGCCCAACGGTTTGCTTGGGAGCCGCCGCCAGCAGCGCCGTCGCCGCTCGTCGCCGCCTGCGCCAGCTCTTCCGCAGCCACCGCGAGACCGTGATTGCTTCCCGGACGTCCGAGCTCGCGCCATGGACGCTCCTCGACGCCGCCCCCGTGCCATGGCCGCTCCTCGACGCCCGCCACCGCGTCCTCACCGCCATCTGCACCCCCTGCTGCCACCACCGCGTCGTCGCCGCCCTCCCCGCCGCCTGCGCGTTCCACACCGGCGCCGCATATACCCTCTCCACGCTAACTGCCATGTCTAACCGGTTGAGGAAATTTTGTTCAGATTTGTTCAAATTAGTGGACACCGGTCCGAAATTTCCGAATTTCGTCCAATTCGGCGGGCTACGATTTTTTTTTTTCTGAAAAGAATCCTAGAACCTTGGCTACGAGTAGAATAAGTTATCTTTTCTTGGGTTGCAATTGCAAGACACCCGAATTTAACTTCAGTTCATCAACTATCACTGCTACTCACTTTAATGGTGAATGCATGAACTGATTCATATAAACCTTACTTGGTTGCAGCTTTGGAGCTAATGGAGAAAAATGTAGTTGCTGTGATTGGCCCACAATCCTCTGGGATAGGCCATGTCATCTCTCAAGTTGTCAATGAGTTACATGTTCCTCTTCTATCATTTGCGGCAACGGATCCAACTCTTTCTGCATCAGAGTATCCTTACTTCTTAAGGACAACTACAAGTGACTACTTCCAAATGAATGCCGTTGCTAGCATTGTTGATTACTATCAGTGGAAAAGGGTGACTGCTATATACGTCGACGACGATTATGGGCGAGGTGGCGTCTCGGCTCTCGGCGATGCGCTTGCATTGAAGAGGGCACAGGTTTCATATAAAGTAGCTATTCCTCCAAATTCAAACACAGATGTGATCCGTGATGTACTGTTTAGAGCAAACATGATGGAATCAAGGGTCATGGTTGTGCATGTCAATCCTGACACAGGTTTGAGGGTATTTTCTGCAGCTAAGAAGCTCCAGATGATGGCCAGTGGCTATGTCTGGATAGTAACTGACTGGCTAGCTGCTGTCCTCGATTCCTCCCCCGCATCTAGAGATCCTAAATACATAAGCAATATTCAGGGAGTAATTGTTCTTCGTCAGCACACTCCTGATTCTGATGCCAAGAAAAAGTTCATATCTAGATGGAACACTGTGGCTCGTAACAGAAGTATGACTTCTGGACTGAACTCATATGCTTTCTATGCTTATGACTCAGTTTGGGCCGTTGCTCGCTCTGTCGACCAATTTCTCAATGCTGGGCAACATATCAACTTCTCAACAGATCCAAGGCTGCATGATCCAAACGGCACCACTTTGCGTCTGTCAAGTCTCAAGATATTCGACGGTGGTGACCAGATGCTGCAGCAACTTCTCCTCACAAACTTCACAGGTCTAACAGGTCCAGTCCGATTTGATTCAGGCGGCAATTTGGTACGCCCAGCTTATGATATCCTCAATGTTGGCCGCTCCGGTATCAGCTTGGTTGGCTATTGGTCCAACTATTCAGGCCTTTCTGTGGCTGCTCCTGAAATTTTGTATCAGATGCCATCAAATGCATCCACCAGTGCCTATCAGCTGAAGAATGTGGTATGGCCTGGTGATTCAACTGATATACCTAGGGGCTGGGTGTTTCCAAACAATGGCCAGCCTCTCAGAGTTGGGGTCCCAGTTAAACCAAGCTTCAAGACATTGGTGTCAGGCAGTAGCCCTGATACTGTGAGGGGTTACTGCATTGATGTTTTCAAGTCAGCAATTAAACTGCTCCCTTACCCAGTTCCTTACCAGTTTGTACCTATTGGGGATGGCACAAAGAACCCTAGTTACGTCGGCATTGTTGGGATGGTTGCTTCCAATGTATGTCCTCATTCTTTGTCATCCCAGTTTGTTTCACCATTAGCTTTAATTTGTTGACGATCCTCTGATTTGTTTGTTTCATTTTCATTCAGACACTTGATGCAGCTGTAGGCGACTTTTCGATAGTGAGAAATGGAACACGGCTTGCTGAGTACACACAGCCTTACATTGATTCAGGGCTTGTGATAGTGGCGCCGGTGAAACATGTAAGCTCAGGCGCCTGGGCTTTCCTTAAACCTTTCACATGGGAGATGTGGTTTGTCATAGGCGCTCTTTTCATTTTGGTGGGAATTGTGGTGTGGCTACTCGAACATCGGACTAATGAGGAATTTCGAGGGCCTCCACGTAATCAAATCATAACAATATTCTGGTACGTTGTCTCTGTTGCTACTCTAAGCCTCTATCTAAGGATGTGTTTTATCCTAGTTTATTACCATACCTGGCTTTAGTCAAAATTCATACTGGCAGTACCATTATATGGGTCAAAATGTTTGTAGCTTTATTCAATTTTCTCTTTTTCTATTTGTGTTCTTTTCTGAATGCTTAGTTGCTAACTTTAGGAGTTAACCATATATACATTGTGTGCTTCTCTTTCAGGTTCAGCTTCTCAACAATGTTCTTCTCACACAGTAAGACCACTACTAGATGCCTCAATGACATCAACTTCCTCATGATTTTTTTTTCACTGCATGGGGAGAAACTTCTTGACAAAAAAACTCTCACCTTCAGGGCAGAACACCGGAACCGCGCTCGGGCGTTTCGTGCTAATCATATGGATGTTTGTCGTGTTGATCATCACTTCAAGCTACACTGCCAGCTTGACGTCAATCCTGACGGTCCAACAGCTCGCGACAGGAATTACAGGACTTGACAGTCTCATATCAAGCTCTTTACCTATTGGATACCAGACCGGAAAATTCACCAAGAAATACCTGATGATAAACCTCAACGTTCCTGAGTCTCGATTGGTGCAACTGAACACGATCCAGGAATACGCTGATGCCCTTACCCGTGGACCGAAAAATGGCGGTGTTGCTGCGATTATCGACGAGAAGCCATATATCGATATCTTCCTGTCACACTACTGCAACTTCAAGATTGTGGGACAGCAGTTCACAAGGGAAGGATGGGGATTTGTATGTTCATCGCCCTTTATCTTGTTCTGTGCCTTCTTTTTTTAGTAACTTGTTATATGCCTTTCATTCGCTTTCATTTGGGCATTTGTCCTGTTGCATTGCATCTCAAGGAAGCATGTGTCCATTGTTTTTTCTTTGCAGGCATTCCAGAAAGACTCCCCCCTTGCTGCAGATATGTCGACCGCCATCCTTCAGCTTTCAGAGAGTGGCAAGCTTCAGAGCATCCATGACGAGTGGTTCACAAAGCCGAGCTGTGCCACCGACGATGAGAGCAATCTGGGAGCAACCAGGCTTGGCCTCGGAAGCTTCTGGGGCCTTTTCCTCATTTGTGCCCTGATATGTCTCTTAGCTCTGGTGATGTTCTTCATACAAGTCTGCTGGCAGTACAAGCAGTACTCCAATTCTGAAGATGCTGACGAGCCCAGTGCAGCTGGCGCTGATGGTGCTGTCAAAAGACAGTGGAGGCTGTCAGGCCTTGGCAGCTTCAAAGAGATCGTAAAGTTTGTCGACATGAAGGAGGAGGAAATCATGAAGAAGTCGATGAAACGACGGTCAGGCGAGAAAGATAACCCAGCTGCTGCAGGATTCTCAGATGCTCAATCGGTGGCTTCAGCATAGAACATGCATTCTTGCTGATCGACTTCAATGCTTCAGAAGACAAAGCAAGGAAGCACAAGACCGATGACATATATATATTGAATTAGGTTCTCGCCCAAAAGAAAAGTAGTACGATGATCTAACTTTTTTCCAGGACAAAAGGCTTTGGTTTTGTTATAGGAGGATCTGAGAATCCATCTTTTATCACGGTTATTAGAATTTTGTCTCAGTTACATGCTTGGGAAAGGCTACTCGTGACCGGTAACTTTTTTATGTTTACCTGCTATAACGTTTGTACTAATTTACGAGATTTATTATAGTTTCTCAAATAATTTATTATCATAATATAGTAAATTTCATCATGAATTATAATAACAAGAATAACAAATATATGTGTCTACTTGGTTCATAGCCGTTACACACCAGTACGCCACGTCCTGTTTGTGGCGTCACCGTGGAACAGTGGCCTCCTCATTCCCTCCACATAGATACGACGCCGGTCCACACAAAAAATGGGGGTCATCGCCTTGAGCCAACCATACCTTCACCGGAAGGTCATAAAAATCTCAAGCACTCTGAATCACCAAGATATTAGGGTAACACGGTCCAATCACTCAAAGCTCTCAAGCTCTAATACCTGAATCTTACAAGGATGCATTATAGTGTCTATCTTAGTCTTAGATGTGATCTTGAATGACTTGAGACGGTGGTTGGATTGTAGAAACACTTGCTCTAACTTGTAACAATCTTGGGGCACTCCAGCATACTCAAACAAAGTGAGTCAACCTAATATATCTAGCCACATCCCTCTCAAAGAGACACTAGAAAAAGACTACCAGTTAGTTTTTCTGCTGACTACCGGATGATCTACTGGGTGGTCCGAGATACTGCACCATATCATCCGGTGGGGTGTTAGACATTTGGTGTCCACTACTCTGATCTTAAATGGATGATCCGCTGGGTTACTCCGATTCTAAGCTACACCGTATCGTTCAGTGGCCTTGATCTTCCGAGTATTCAGTTTGTGACAGTTCTCTTATGCGCACTGGATGATCCGTAGGATGATTTTTTTTCGGCGTGTCATCCGATAGGCACTGTTTCCTAGTTGACTTACTAGACTCCACCATATGATCCTGTCTGGCAAGGATTTTTCACCATTTCTTCTCTATTTCAACTCAGATCTTGATCAAATTTTAACCTTGCATCCCTATAACCTATTATGACATGTCTAACACATCTTTAGCATACATGTTAGAGTTAGGCTTGTATTGTCATCTTAATCACCAAAACTAAAAGATATCATCATGGGCACACATGATCCTTACACATGTACCAAGGCCCCGAGGAAGCGAGGGCAGGTCGGGGCGGCAGCTGGTCCTCGCTAGGTTCTTGTGGTCGGGCAAGGCTGGGCCAGGCCACGTCCACTCCTCGCCGTCTGTCCTCACCAGGTTCTTGTACGTGGTCGGGCGAGGCAGGGTCGAACCATGTCTACTCCTCACCGCCCAGTTAGAGAGAGTTGTGCCATGTTCCTGCCATCGAGCGGGGCAGACTCGGCGGCGGCAGCAAGCAAGCCTGAGGAGGCGTGGGTGGGGATGAGGCGCCTGAAGGTGGGTGGGGTGGACACTGACAATGCCCTTGTGGGGGGCACAATGGAGGATAGAGACGGTGAAACTAGAGCGACATGTGATTCATGTGAATACCAAGCATAGGTGAAAACAAGAACATTATGCACTTAATATGGTGAGTACTGTATAGTACTATTTTTGTTCTAAATTGTAAGACGCTTTGGCTTTTTAGATACATTGCTTTGGTATGTATTTAGACATACACTATATTTAAATGCATAACAAAAGCTATGAACGTAGAAAAGTCAAAACGTCTAATAACTTACTCCCTCCGTCCTATTGAAAGTGTCGTTTTTTACTTTTAAACTTCTTGTTTGACCATTTGTCTTATTCAAATTTTTTATGTAAATAATAAAATAAATAAATCATTATTAAAGTATCTTTGATGATAAAATAACTCATAAAAAATAAATAATATTTATACAAAAATTTTAAATAAGACAAACGGTTAAGTAAGAAGTCTACAAATCAAGAAACGACATTTTCAATATGACGGAGGGAATACAAGTGAGGGAGTATACAATGTTTTGTGTTATATTTTATATTTAACTTTTAGAGTGTTAAAACAACAGTATTTGATACCGTACAAGAACCTATGCTCAAAATCTACTGTAAGAACATGCTAAGGGGGTGTTTGGTTCTTTAGTGCTCTTAAAATTCATGTCACATCGAATGTTTAGATACTAATAAGGAGCATTAAATATATATTAATTACAAAACCAATTACATAGATGAAGGCTAATTTATGAGACGATTTTTTAAGCCTAATTAATCTGTCATTAGCACATATTTACGGTAGCACCACGTTGTTAAATCATGGACTAATTAGTCTTAAAAGATTCGTCTCGCAAATTAGTCGCAAGTTGTGCAATTAGTTTCGTAATTAGTCTATATTTAATACTCCATGTGTCAAACATTCGATGTAACAGGAATTTTAGGAGCGGCTAAAGAATCAAACATGGTCTTAAATCAAACTGCGTGTACTACCGACTCCACTTGAATGAAAGTCTACTCATTTATCACGAATATATGAGATATAGGAAAGAAATCACTAATGTGGGCAAACGTGCTGTACTACACAGCCGCCGCCACTGGGGATGGCTCGCCGTCGTCGCCGGCGACGACCTTGATGCCGGCACGGCAGATCGGGCAGGTGGCGTGCCCACGCAGCCACCCGTTGATGCACCGCGCATGGAACGCGTGGCCGCACGCCGGAAGCCTCCTCACCGTCTCCCCGTCCCGCAAGACGCTGATGCACACCGCGCACTCCTCCACGGACGACGACGACGACCCTGAGCCGCCGCCGCCGCCGGCGGCGTCGGCCTCTGCCGCGCGGTAGTCGAACGCCGGGATGGCCTCGATGTCGCCCTGGCTGAGGCCAACAACGCCGTAGCCGTTAACCTGATGATGCTGGCCCGGCCGTGGCTCAGGCTGCTGCCCCACCGTTGACTCCTCGGACCCCCTCGTGCGCCGCAGGCAGTACCATGTGAAGATGACGAACCCGAGTGCGAGGAGCACGCCGGCGGAGACGAAGCCCCAGAGCCGGCCGGCGAACGCGTACACCAAGATGGACACGAGTTCGCCCAGCGACCACATCAGAAGGAGAGTCGAGCGGCGGCCCCACCCCGCAGTGCTAGGGCCAGTCCGCACTGCGTCGTCCATGGTGGACATATAATTAACCCTGCAGGCTGCAGCTAAGCTAGGTTACTCTATATAACGCTGATCCAGCCGTATGTGTGTGCCTATATATACAGAATGTATTCCAAGACGATGGTACGATGATTCCATCTATAAGGTAACAAAAAATTGAGCCATCAACATGTAGATAAGACTAGAATACTGGGATGGGGGAAGTGCGAAACGGCAAACGAGATGAACATTAGGACGCAGATAGAATGTGGCGGGGAAGTAGCCAATGTCCAAGGTGACATCCGGTCCTCATTGACCGAATACGTTAAACACAAGTTGCAGTGTTTTTCTAGGATTAAAACCAAATTTACTATGGGTATTAGATTCTAACAAATCTCACAAGGGTGCACTTTAGTGTCTACCTTAGTCTCGGATGTGATCTTGAATGACTTGAGACGGTGGATGGATTTATAATTCTAACTTGTTACAATCTTGGGGCACCCTGGCATACTCAAACAAGTGAGGCAACCTCATATAAATGACAACGTATCAGGTGCAAATCAGCTAACCTGTGTAAATATAGAAACTACCAATCAGGACCACTAAATACTGATTCAATGGATGGGGTAAGAGGTGGGATTTTTTTGCGCTTAAGCCCCCCACCCGTGGCCTTTTTTTTGCGCTTAAGTCCTCTCACCTCATCCATTGGATCAGCATCTAGTGATCATGATTGGTAGTTTCTAAGTTTACACAGGTTGGTTGGTTTGCACCTGATATGTTGCCCATATAAATAGACCCATCCCTCTCAAAGAGCCGCTAGAAAAAAAAGTCTACCAGTTTTTCTGCTGACTGTCGGATGATCCGCTGGGTGATCATAGATAATATACCATACTAGGTAGCGTGTCCGTGCGTTGCTACGGGACAACTAAATCTTTTGTACTAAAAACACACGGATCACACGATACGATAACAATACTGTTAAATTAAATACCGACATCAAAGTGATATTTAATTCAAAAAGCAAAGTTCGTGAAATTACCACAGTCACGGAGAGCGCGACGTCGCAGGCTCACAAACTCTGTTGTATAGACTTTTTCATGATACGGTTAAAATAATATTTTATATCGACAAAAAAAATTCTACGATATCCATTTCTTTCGTGCGCCAATAAATCCATGAATAAGTTCCGTTGCATCTCTATATAATCATGTACACACAGGTTCGAGTATATATGCAAATAGGTTCGTGCCCATGCGTTGCTACGGCATAGCTAAACTTTTGTACTAAAAACACACGGATCGCACGATAAGATAACAATACTGTAAAAGTATATGACCGACGTTAAAGTGACATTTAATCCAAAAATCTAAGTTCGTGAAATTTACATAGTCACAGATAGCGTAGCGTCGCAGGCTCACAAACTATACTGTGTAAATCTTTCTGTGATGCGGCTAAGATCATTTTTTATACCGGCAGGAAGAGATTTCCGATATCCGTTTTTTTCGTGCGCCAACAAATCCACGAATAAGTTCCACCACATCTCCATACCATCCTGTACACGGCGCTGATAAGCGAATTAGCCACAACTTATATAATTAGTTTTATAATTAGCTCATATTTAGTCCTCCTAATTGATATCTAAAAACTCAATGTCACATGGACTAAAATTTAGTCCTGGGATCCAAACACCCCTAACTCTCGACTCTTGCTGGCTGCTCACTTGCACCACCATGCCTATGTGCTTGCACGTATATACTATAATGCCAGAACGTTTAAGATGATCTTTATTGTCCACCCTTTGAAAAAATCATAACTTTAAGGTTGCCATTTGTGTATGGTGTAGGATTAGGATGCTTTGCACTGATACATGAGGGTGTCCATGAGAGTCGAAATTTTTTATGCCATTATGATGTCTAAGCTTACCAATCAGACAGAGACGAACTTGATTGTTAAAATATTTTCAACACTGCTTTCATATACTCCCTCTGTCCCAAAAATAGAATTCATTCTCGTTTCCCAAGAAGTCAATTTTTTTTAACTTCGACCAATTAATATTTATAATATATAATTAGTATCATTACATAGACCATTGAATATATTTTCATAATAAACTTATTTGGAGATATAAATGTTGCACGTATTTTTTACAAACCTAGTCAAAGTTAAGAAAGTTTGACCTACACGCATCCCATAACGACTTATATTTTAGGGCAGAGGAAGTATATGCTAATGGGAGTAGTTAACTAGAAGTCGCGATGAACACAACAATACTTTCATATTATATACTAATGGGAGCACGAAGAAACGCAGGGAAATTGACCTATATACTAATTGTGGGAATATCGTTTAGGAAATTGCAGAAGGTTCACCAGTCTCACCATGTATAACCTGCACATCTTTTATTTGGCACCACTGATGTTCTCAAGGAGCAGCCACTTTTTAATTTCAGGTCTGCATGCTGGAAACACTAAAATTAAAGGCCAACCTCATTGAGTCATCTTGCTTGATCATTGCCAATTGTCTTGCTTGAGCTTTGCGAACAAATTATACCATTGGCAAAGATTAACACATAAAGAGGTAGAAGTTGCAAGAATAAAGCCAGGTGGTCTACTATGCGCCCACTCTAAATTTAATACCCTCCAAATTATGGACAATACCATATGATTCGGTTTACGTGGAGATGAAAGATATCTGACCGAGCGAGAGAGGGGCACCGCATGATTGTTTCCTTCCATGCATGATTATTGTTTCCTTCCATGCATGTGGCCTCAGGTGATCGATTTGTTTTCTTCAAAGCAGGCGAAGATCGCAGGGATGGCAGTTTCTTTTTCTATCGCGCGGTGCATGATTATTGTTTCCTTCCATGCATGTGACCTCAGGTGATCGATTTGTTTCCTTCAAAGCAGACGGGGATCGCAGGGATGGCAGTTTCTTTTTCTATCGCGCGGGGTATCGTATGGCCGGAAGGGAGGAGTGACCCAAAAAAAAGTCGCACAAAAAATTATCTTACTTTTGTTCTTTTTAGCTGTAGGAGATCATCCGGCGGGGTTCCGACCTTTGGTCTCCACACCTCTGATCTTAACCGGATGATTCGCTGGTTTGCAAATAAGCAAAATGGTATTGTCCTGTGCACTTGATTATCTTCCTCGTGTTCAACCGTGCCACTTCTCTCATGTGCACCGGATGATCCAGTGATTCTTCTTTTTATTGTATCATCCAAATAGGCACTATTTCCTAACTTACTAGACCGTATGATCTGGCTTGGCAGGAATTTTTGTTGTTTCTTCTCCGTTTCAACTCGGATATTGATCAAATATTCTTTTTTGGAAAAAAAAATATTGATCAAATATTCACCTTGCATCATCAGAACCTATTATAACATGTTTAACATATTTTTAGCGCACATGTTAGAGCTAGGGTTGTATTGTCATATTAATCACCAAAACTAAAAGATATCATCATGGGCATATGATCCTTACACTTGCCGATGGGCGAGATGGACTCGGCAGTGGCGGCAAGGGTAGGTTGGGGCGGCAACTGGTCCTCATGGATTCTTGTGGTCGGGCGAGGAAGGGCCAGACCACATCCACTCCTCTTTGCCCATCTAGAGAGAGAGAGAGAGAGTTGTGCCATGTTATCACATCAGCATTTCACAAGATTAAACTTAAAAGTATGCGGGGCATTACACATGAGATAATATATATATATATATACATTGACTTAGTCATTCTTGTCATCAAATTAATTCATTACATTTACATATTAAAAGTCATTTATACATGCGCTAAGGTGTAATCCTGATGGATGCATCATCGTCAGGCCATTTCTTGACCTCTCTCAGACTGGTAAAATCGCTAGCGGCTGTTCTCATTGAAGAACGTGTCTCTTCAAGCACGTAACGCATTTGTCTAAGACAAACTTACATATGTCCGTCTTTGTTCCTTGAAAGGCATGTTGTAAGATTGCTTTGCATGTCTCTCGACGGATTCAATCCATTCTTGAGCACCCTCCAGCTGCTGCTGCATCGCTTGCACACCCTCAGAACTCCACAGGCGTAGAAGCCACAAAGTTTGTGATCCTACCGGTTGTTTGGCACACTTTGCATGATCGATACACAAGCATTACAACCACGGGCATTGAACGCATATGAACGAAAGCACAATTAAACCTTTCAAATACTTACCGGAAAGTTGCGTCTGGTTTTGATACACGTTCTTATGCTTAGCCCAAATTCTCTTGTTTCTTCGATCATAGCATTCTGTGATCCTTCACGTACTTTATAAGCGCTATCTGAAATGTACTAGTATTAGGCGGGGCATTAGAACGCATATGAGAAGATACGATCAAATCACTTACACTCTAAGGCAATCTTCAAAGGCCTTGTACCCTTTTAAGTTTGGCAATCATCAACGAATTAAATACTGCAGGCCACCGCCATCCTGAGGTAGATGATAAATGCAACCCGGTGACCCTCGAGGCCTTGGTCACGCCATTGAAACAAAAATACAAAGCTATTTATTGAGAAATAATAATAGTAAGCTAGCTACCCACTTATCTCTACAGCATGACTTGACTTACCCAAAGTGGTAGGCGCTATGATACACCCATTTTCCGATCTTCTTCATTGCTCCTAGTATGTACCTTGAAATGTTCAACTTCTCATTGTCCATCGGTTTCTTCTTGTGCGCCTCTCTCTATCCAGCTTGGTCAAGTCTTTCATGGTTGGATGATTGTCATCTAGGTGGTAACCAATGATGATTCTTTGAGCAATATGCATTGGAGATAGATAGATAACATCAAGTTTTAGTTCCTTGGATATATAGGCCATCAACTCCGCAAGGACAAGCCATCGTGGTATATATAAGTAGTCTTGACCGATTCAAAGGCAGTGATATGTGAAACTCTCAATTCATCACTTACATAGAGAACAAGGTGACTTTGGGCGATGTCAAGGTCTTGTTCGTAGTAGTAGTGGCGTACATGTCGTCAAGTCCACGGGAGTTCTACATCGTTGTCGGGCAAGTGGAAGTACT